TTGTATCAGTCTGTTGAAACATTTCAACATTTTTGGAGCCTTGTTGTTGTTTTTTTGCCAATGCCTTCAGTGCAGCTTAGGTTTTTTGTTTCCTTCAATACCTTTGGTTCTTGATCATATGCTACCTCTTGAAATGGTTAAACATCACGTAATTCTTTTTGGTATAGTGATTTTGTATATTTTTTTCATCTTTTGATACTTGCTGCTTCATTCAATATTTTACCCTTGGAGTCCTTCAATACTGTAACCTGAAGCTTGCATTTTTCCTTCAGTTTGAGAAATAGTGTGTCTTTCTTTTTTGATTTTCTAACTCTAGTTCTTTGTACATTTCATGATAATACTTTTTGTCTTCTTGATCTGTCCTTTGAAATTTTGTTTTCCTTCCTCATTTCTTGAAGTTGCTTTAGCTTCTCTATGCTCAAGAGTAAGTTTCAGTCTCTTCTGACATCCCTTTTGGTCTTTTAAAAAAAATGTCCTGTCTTTTAAAGGACCTTTTGGTTTCTTTATGATTAATGTTCTTGATGTCATCCCACAAGTTTTCTGGTATTTGGTTATTAGTGTCTAATGCATCAGATCTGTTCTTCGGAAGGTCTTTAAATTCAGGTGGGATAAGCTCCAGGACATATTTTGGCTCTTGTAGACTTGTTTTAGTTTTTCTCAACTTCAGCCTGAACTTCCATGTGAACAATTGATGATTTGTTAATCAGCTTCTTGCCTTGTTTAGCTGATGATACTGAGTTTCTCCATTGTCTTTTTATGGCACACAACAACAACAACAACAAGTCAATTTGATTCCTGTTTATTCTATATGGTGAGGCCCATGTGTATAGTTGACATTTATGTTGTTGGAAAAGGTATTTGAAATGAAGTTATTGATTTTGAAAAATTCTATCATGTGAACTACAGCATCATATCTATCACCAAAGCCATATTTTAAACTGCTGATCCTCCCTCTTTGTTTCCAACTTTTGCATTCTAACCACCAATAATTATCAATGCATCTTGATTGAATGCTTGATCAGTTTCACATTGTGGAAGTTAATAGAATCTTTCAATTTTATCATCTTTGACTTTACTGGTTGGTATGTAAATGTGAAGGATAATGGTATTAACTGGGCTTCCTTATAAAAATATGGATATTTTCCTGTCAGACTCATGATTATCCACCACTTGTCTGTCAGTTTGTTGTGCTGTTGTGGCTTGTGTGTTGCTGTGATGCTGGAATCTTTGCTTCTGGTATTTTAATTACTGGCAGAGGCATCCATGGTGGACAAATTTCATTGGAACTTGCAGACTAGGAGTAAGACAGACTAAGATAAAGGAGAGATGGACTACTTCTGAAAGGTTAGCCACTGAAAACCTTATGAATAACAGCAGAACTCTGATATAGTGCCAGAAGATGAGCCCCTCAGGTTGGAAGGCATTAAAACATGAGTAGAGAAGAACTACTTCCTCAAAGTAGAGTTGACCTTAGTAATATGGATGGAGTAAAGCTTTCACCACTTTTATTTGTTGACAGGGCACAACTTAAATGGAGAAGAAAAAGTTGAAGACATCTATTAATATTGTTAAGTGCTGTCGAGTTGATTCTAACTCATAGTGACACTGTATAGGGTTTCCAAGGAGGGGCTGCTAAGTTTGAATCGCTGGCCTTCAGGTTCAAACTGACCTTGAAGTAGAGTGCTTATCCTATGGCACCACACCAAGACTACTTATTAATAATAGGAATGTGGAATGTATGATGTATGAATCTAGTAACATTGGAAGTCATCAAAAATGAAATGGAATGTATGAAGACCAGCATCCTCGGCATTAGTGAGTTGAAATGGACTGTTATTGGTCAATTTGAATCAGACAGTCAGATGTCTCAGTATTCTGGGAATGACAAATGTAAGAGGAATGGCATCACAGTCATTGTCAAAAAGAGCATTTCAAGATCTATCTTAAATTACAATGCTGTCTGTGATAGGATAATATCTATCCACCTACAAGGGACCAAGATATAGGTATCTGGAAAAAGCAAGGTTGGATTTAAACAACTGGAAGAACTTTTGAAAGAGGTTTAGAATAGGCAGGGAAATGGTGCAAAAGATTATTCAGATATTTTATGAGCGTGGGTGACCTGGTATATAGAAGGACATTGAGTGAAAGCAGGGTTGAACCTAAATAGAAGGTAGGGTTAAGGAAAGAAAATCAGGACACAGAGTATTATAATCTAAGCATTTTCAGCTATTAAATGTAAGAACTTGGTGAGCTTCAATTTCTTCAAATATTAAATACATACTCACATTTCCTGTATGCCCCATAAGGTTGACATGGGATATGGGGATGAAATGAAATGATGGATATAAAAATATTTTGTAAATTTTTATATAATAATAATTATGATTATATGTGGTTCAAGAGTTTCAAGGGTGGATTTCTAGCATCCCATTTTCATTCTTAAGATTGTCATGGAAATATCATTCCTGTACTAAAATTTCCTACCCTAAGGGTTAGAGGACTTTCCATTCCTTTGGGGCAACTAAGTTTTCTAGCTTTTCTCTGTCTCCCAAAATATATTCTCATGGCCAGGTGGAAGATATAAACTCCTTTAAGAAGAAACAACTTTTTTTTTTTTTATTTGACAACTAGAAATGAGAGTTTAAAAATACACATACCCAAGAGAGTTGGCATACTGGCATGAAAGACTTCTAGGAAAAGTTATAAATGATGATAGAAAGTCCTTTCTTAATTTGTAGTAGAGAGTGATCCAGAACATACTGAAGCTTGAGTGTAGGGTAGGAAAACAAGAATAGAATGATGTGGAGATGCTGGATATGCTAAGGAAACTTTACCAAAGTTTCAGTTTTGCTGAGTGTATCCCCTCCCTCTCTTTCGTCATTTTATATCCAGGACACATGGAATTCTGGTGTGGCACTGTAGGATAAGCACTGGACTGGCAGGTCAAATCCACCAGATGCTCCTTGGAAATCCTATACAAGGTTGCTATGAATTGGAATTGATGCCACGGCACTTAACAACAACAACAATGCAGGACATGTAGAATAAAAAGGTAAAATGTTATTCATACTACTATTCTAACATGGGTTAATTTCTTTTATAAAAAATCAAAATCAACTGTAATATAAATTTATATCTAACTTATTGCACTTAAGGCAATGCCTTACTCTAAGCTATTGTGAATGGCTTCACCCTCCTTTAGATGGCAGTTTCTTGAACAGTAAACATAGTGTTTAGGAAGAATTAATCAACCTCTGGTTCAGAATCCTAGATCCCTGAGTGTTGCATTGTTTTGTGACTGGCTACTTACTTAAAGACTGGTGCTTTGAATCTACTCAACACTGCCTCGGACGAAAGGTCTGGAGACCTGCAAGAAAACCGTATGGAACATTTCTACTGTGTACCACATGCGATCACCATGAATCAAATTGACTCAACAGCAAGGAGTTATGGGTTAGAGTCATCCATGATGTTTCAGTAGAATGACTCATCATGATCAGGAACGCCTATGTGTGTAGCTCATATGATATTAAAGAAAATCATGAAGGAGAGGATGCTTAATAAAATTTATTTCTTAGGTATTAAGGAGTAAAATGTGAATCATAATACATGAGAGCATTGTTCAGATCAGTTTTCCCTCTGTAATCCTTCATCATTGCATGTTTCATGGAGCAACTTTAGTAGATTTAAACTAGAATAGATTTAAATTGTAAAATTATAACATGATGTTACTCTTCCATAATAGATAATATTTTACAGCAGAAATGATAGTAATATGGGATGCTTAAGATCTTATGTGGGTTTCATCCCAGATTCGATCTCACAATACCCTCCTAGCTGGTCGTTGGCTTTAGCTCTGTCTACCTGCAGTCTATTATCAACAAAACAGTCAAGAAGTTGTAATGTAAATATAATGGTATTCTGTTGCTCAAAACTTTCCAAAGGCTTCTCATCTCATGCAGAAATAAAAGTTCTTAAAATGACTTATAAGGTCTTGAGTAATTTGTCTCCCTGTTCACTTTGACTTTCCCTAGTACTCGTTCCCTTACTCTCTCTAAATAAATTCCCTAATTTCTGTGGTGTTACTCGAACAACATCTGCCTCAGGATTTTGTAGAAAACTTGCTTCTTTCTGCATGGAATACGCTTTTCTCAGCTGTTTACACGGTTCACCTCTTTGAAGCTTTTGCTTAAATGTTACCTTCTCAAGGTGGCCTTCATTGATCACTCTATTTAAAATCTCAAACTTTTCTCCTACATTTCCTGTGTCCTTCCTCCTTTCTCCATAGTACTTTCTCTCCCTGGCATGCTATTCATTTTACTTATTGTTTTGCTCTCCACAACAAGAATGTAAACTCCATGTGGGTAGTGGCTTTGGCCATTTTGGTTTTAATGCTTTTACAGTGCCTAGCAGAGTGCCTGGATCATAGTAGATGCTTAATAATATTTATCAAAGGAAATAATAACTACTACTTTACCTAGTAGTCATTAAGACATTTACTACTTGTACAAGAAAGAAACTTTCAGTTTGTCCCTAGGCTGGAAGACTGTCGACTATCTAGAGCCAAGGGAATTAGAAAGTTGTTCTATTTCTAAATCTTTTAGGTCTGGAGTTATTTGGAATTAGAAGTTGCATCTTTATTCACTTTAAAACATCTTAGGTTGTGTTAAATGCCGTGAGTATATCAGTGATGATCTACCTGGGATAACTACTTTTGTGCTTGCTACACCAATCCCTCCTGTAATCAAAGTGAATGCAGTGAGAAATATAATGCCCTTTTATCTACTGGGGTCACCCATGTTGAAAATACAGCATTTCATTTGAGTTAGCTATAATATAGGTCTTCCTGATTAGGTGAGGAATCATCAATGAGGGACCCCACTGAAAAAAAAATATCTTTTTAAAAGTGTACATTAGCAGTTGAAAGTTAAGTCTTTCTTAAGAGATCCTATATGGTAGACAGTGGTTTGTTAGATCTCACATAGATTACCGTATGTTCATTCTATTCTCAAGACTTTCTTCAATGCAGTTTTCATTTCCTTGTTTCGTAAGCTATAAATCAGAGGGTTTAAGAAGGGAGTGACCATGGAGTAGAACAAAGTCATAACCTTCTGAATTTCAGCTGGGTTTTCAGATGTGGGGCTCACATACATTGCCAAGAGGGCTCCAAAGAATAAGCACACCACTGTCAGATGTGATCCACAGGTGGAAAAGGCTTTTCGCCGGCCAGCTGCTGAAGGAACTTTTAATACAACGATCAGTAAAAGGGTATAGGAGCCAAGGATGTACAGAAGAGTGAGTATGATGATGAAGGAGCTCAGGATATAGAAAACTAACTCAGTGATAGGAGCTGGAGCACAGGACAGAGACATCAGTGGGTCCATGTCACATATAAAGTGATCAATGACATTGGGCCCACAGAAAGACAATTGGGAGAGTTGCACTGTGGAGACTGAGTAACTAAGGAACCCAAACACCCAACAAAGAAATATCATTATATAGCAGAGTTGTAGGGTCATAATGGTTGGGTAGTGCAATGGGCGGCAGATGGCAAGGTACCGGTCATATGCCATGATGCAGAGGAAATATGCTTCAGTTGTACCAAGGGAAGAAAAGAAATAGAATTGGAGAAAACAGTCAACAAAGGAGATGGTTTTTGTCTCTGAGAGGAAATTGACCAGCATACAAGGCACAGTGGAGGTAATGTACCATATTTCAAGGAAAGCAAAGTTCCCCAGTAGAACATACATTGGGGTGTGGAGCCGTTGGTCCCACCTTACAGCAAAGATAATGGCGCCATTTCCCATCGTGGTAAATATATAGACCCCAAGAAACAGCGAGAAGAGGAGCATTTGAATCTCCTGGCCACCAGGGAAGCCTAGGAGGACAAACTCAGTCACAGTGCTTTTCATTGAGTTGTTCATGAATCCCAGGGCTGCAGAGAAGACAGAGAACACCATTACACAAGTCGTTTTCTCCCTGAGAAACCTGTAGGAAACCTATGCATGGCACATATGTTGGTCATTTGGCCATTAGTTTGGAATAATTTATCCAATGACTTCTAATTCTTACTTAAAACTACCAGTCAACGATCCCAGGAATTCTAAATTTCAATAAAATTGGGTTCATAGCAATAGAGTATATTATATGGACTTTATCAATCAGTTATTAAAAAATCCTCTTTTCCCTTTGAAATTTTGAAAACTCAGAAATACCACTCTCTCTCACCTCTATAAGGAGCCCTGGTAATGTAGTGGGTTACACATTGGGTTTCTATCCATAAGGTCAGCAGTTCAAATCCATCAGTGGCTCCATGGGAGAAAGATGAGACTTTACAAGCCTTGGCAAACCTATACAGTCGCTATGAGTAGGAATCTATTTGAAGGCACACAACCACTAACACCTCACATCTATGAAAGGTAGCAAAGTGGCTATCAGTTTGTATTTCTTTTTCACACCCACAGGTATTTATTTGGAAAGGATCACTTGTAGATTATGCTACTTTTTAAGCCAAGAATTAGAGAGGGAATGATTTTGGTATCTCTTACCCAACTGACAATATTTGACATATTTCTCAGATAATTTAGAGTTGTGTGCCAGTTTCTGTGAGTTTTTTGCATCAGGATAGTTTCTTTTGTGACATGTTAGTGAATTATAAATCAACATAGAAATCAAAAGGAAAAGTCAGGGTATTTCTTGAATTTCCTTTACTTCAAGCTTTTATTTTAAACTCCTCTAATTTATCAACTCTCTGCTGTCTTAAACAAATACAGTGTTTTCAATAATTTACCATAAATTTTATTAAAATAAACAATTTATTTATACATATATGGGTTGGCTACTTACAACTAATTCTTATGCTATCCAGATATTGTACATGATAGGTTTCCATATTTCTGACTGTAATACCACCTGCAAGAAACACAGAACCTTAATCATCTCAGAAAAATAATTTATCAAAAATTAAACAAACAAATAAGCAACCATAACATATCTCAAAATGCGGCTATAGATTAATTCTTCTTGCTGAGCACACATGGTATTTTCTTTCAATTTTGTGATAAAAATTTATATGTAAAAAATATTCCACAAACTTTATCCAAATGCCAGGTTGCTTATTAATATTAAACCATTTAATATACAATTTCAAATAATCTAAAGCGCTTATGCCTTGTTATTTTTAGTATATTAACAAGGCAATATTTAAACTTTACTTTTCTAAGCTAGAAATCTTTTTTTAAAAAAGAATTTTAAGAAGCCAACAAAATGAAAACAGGCAATGAAAAATAAGAAGTAATCCCACTTCCTGGATAAAACAGTTTTAACTCTTTGGAGTATTGTGTTCTCTTCTTTAAAAAAACTAAAATGAATATTTCAAAATAGTTTTATAACCTATTTTTTTTTTTTTTTAACTTAATATATTTTAGTCTTCTATCCATGTAAAAATCCCGGAGTCCCTGTAGGATAAGCATTGGACTGGAGTTCTGGTATGGTGTTGTGGGTTAATGCGCTGGACTGCAAAGTAGTTTGAACCTCTACGTCAGCAGTTCAAGTTCACCAGCCACTCCTAGGAAACCCTATACAGGGTCGCTATGGGTCAAAACCAACTTGACGGCAATTAACAACAAACTAACTAAATGCTAAATTATCTTCTATTCTATAAATTAAATTAATTTCTGGTGATAGATTTATGCTTGATCATTAATATGAACTTAAAGATGATTAAAAATATGATGATTAGAGTAGTCAATGTTTTTGTTGTTGCTAGCTGCCGTTGAGTCGGTTTTGACTCTTAGCGTGCTTAGTTATTGTTTCGGTTCCAATTTATAACGATACCATTGGTTTCCTAAGAATTTGAACGGCAGGCCTTATAGTTTAAACCAAACTTGCGGTTGAGTGCTTATCTTACAGCGCCACACCATGTATTGTTAAGTACCATTGAGTCCATTCTAACCAAAGCGACCCAGTATAGGATTTCTGAGGAGTCTCTAGTGAATTTGAGCCACTGACCATGTGGTTCAAAACAAACATGCGGTTGAGCGCATTATTCCATAGCTCCACTCCAGGACTCCTTAGCATGTTGTTGTTGTTGTGAAGTGCCGTCGAGTCGATTCTGACCCATAGCGACCCTGTATAGGGTTTCCAAGTAGCTGATGGTGAGTTTGAACCGCCGACCTTGCAGTTCAAACGGCTTTGCCGTCTGGCGCATTAACCCATAGGGCCACAGAGTGCCCTAATTTTTTATTATGAATATTTAAAACACGCTTTTGAAACCTATCATTCACTGGAGCAAGCCTATTACATATAAGGCACTTAACAACAACAACAACATTATATATATTACATGTAACACCTATTACATATAAACTAATCTACAATAGTTCACAATACAGTTTTTTGTTTTAAAGGTGAATTCCCTGTGTAATATTCCTATAGCAAGCTATACATATATCTACTACTGTTGTTGTTAAGTGCCGTCATTGTCATCCTATATAGGGTTTCCGAGGAGCGGCTGGTGAATTTGAACCACTTACCTTGCAGTTCAAATCGACCTGGAGGTCCAATGCATTATCCCACAATGATGTATCTACTAGAGCATGTGATATAATGACTAAAGTATGTATTTATGCTTTTCTAGACTGAAAGCTCCTATAATTCACAGAGTATATTAAATTACTCCTTATATGCTCAGTCAACTCAATTTTTGGTGCACAGTAGGCATTTATTGAGTGGATTAATTTCAGATTTTCCATTCTTTCATCAAAAGCTTAGCTGAATGACCACCACCAATACTGAGTTCCCAATCTGAACCTCATTGGGCATGATCTTGTGTGATTCTGACCAAACTTGTCAACTGGGTCACAGTTAGACCTTAATACCACCTCGCCTCATATCCCTGCCATTCCTTAGTGTCTACTTTAAATGTAAGCCACTCCAGTCATTTACTCTGCATTATATTTTCAACCCTATAATTGACGTTTTGTTCAGTACTTTCCTTATTCCATCTTTTTCACTCTACGTGTTCCCCCTCTACACTTACTTCTTAGTGAATGGCTCTTCTCTCCATTCATTAATCCATTTAATGGAGTTGGTTCTGGCTCATAGTGACCCTGTATAGGGTTTCTGAGGAGTAGCTGGTGGGTTTGAACTGCCTTCTTGCTGTTCAAATCAGCCTTTCAGTCTAATGCTTTATCCTACAATGCCACATTTACTGAAGTCAGAAACCTGATAGTCATGCAAAGCCCCTTATAAATCTTGCCACCCTGCTGATTTTGTCTCCCAAATGTTTCTCAAATCTGTACTGAGCACATAGAAGATCAACGTAAGTGCTTTCCTTGTTTGGATGATACAACAGTGAAGTGCATCAACCACACATATAACCTAGAAAGATAAATGGGCTGCTCTTTAGGAAGACTGAAGACTGCAGCTTTAGGAAGAAAACACGTGGTTTGATGAGAAAGGAAGAGAAAACACACTCTGGTAACCTGGTGACATACCACAGTTGGGGCACGTTCACAACAGATTGACTCAATACAGTAATACTTAATTCAACAGTACTGGTATGTTATATAGTTACAGGAAAATAAATGATCAGGTCAAATTGATTTGAGTTCAAGTACTTTATGACCTACTTTGTGACCTGTGACAAATTAAAATCTGTCTTTCGGAACTCTTGTGAAAATAGCCTTGAACACATACATATGCCTGGCACAGCATCTGGAATATTGTTTATTGTTGTTAAGTGCTGTCGATTCTGACTCACAGTGACCCTGTATAGGGTTTCTGAGGAATAGCTGGTGGGTTTGAACTGCCAAATTTGCAGTTCAAACGGACCTTGCAGTCCAGTGCTCGTTGTTGCTGTCAAATGCCATTGAGTCATTTCGACTCATAGACCTGGTATAGGGTTACCAAAGAGTGGCTAGTGAGTTTGACCCACAGTGCTCAAAGAACCTAGAAAGGAAGGTAGTTGTTATTGTTAATGATACTACTGCACCCACCCCTCACTTATTAGCATGGTTAGGTTCCAAAGACAAGGTTGTTATGGAGAAATAGGTGTTATACAAATATGGAGGATGACCACATCGGGTCACAAAACTGAGGATGACTACATTATTACATAACTGCCAAATTGCTGAGAATCATGGCCCAAACAGGTTGATATATAATCTCAGCCATCACAGCCAGCGGGACTCTCCCTTCACACTTCAGGGTTCATTACTACCATATATACATTTTCAATGCACAAAATAGTGGGATAGATTTTTGTCACGATTATAGTAAATGTGAAATGTCAGATAATGAAATAATAGATAAATGAGGGGTAGGTTACTAACAAACATGAGTACAAAGTGATTGAAATAATAATGTTTAACATAATCACTTAGTTTAAAAATAACTTAAAAACTTAAATGACAAACAATAAATTTAAGTAAACTTACCAGACTATATTAAGAAGCTACCCTGTTCCAATATATCACATAACAGCAAGGTTACCTAGATTTATTTTATTAAATTTCTTAGATATTCTTCGATATTCTTAAACCTTCTTAAATATCTGGCTTGATATAATAAAAGGAAGAGGATATGAAAATACCTTTGTGCTCACAATCCAATATGCAGAAAATAAATGATTAAAAGACAGAAATTGCATTAGCTGGGTTGTGCATAAGAGTAAATGGGAATAAGTTCTTTAACTGGGAGCACTGCAAAAGGCAAATTATGCACCACACTGGTTTCTAATACCAAATTATGGAATTTATCAACTTTATGGTTAATGAGGTATCCCTTTGTAAATCAGAAGGCAAGAAAGTTTAAGGGAATGTTAAGCTGAGGGCATTTGAGTAGCTGGATTGTCGATCAGCAGCTCATTATGACATACCTTATTATTATAATACTGGAGATAATTTACTGCTGGTGAGATCACATGTTCTTAAACATAAGGTCCACAAAAAGAACTATA